GGCCAAGACGTTCTCTCTCTCCCTTTTTCTCTCTCTTTCTCTCATTCCCCTTCTCTCTCCCCCTTTCTTTCTTCCTTTCTTTCTCCCCCTAACTCTTTCTCTCTCTCTCTTGCAAAAGACAAAGAAAGAAAAAAAGGACGAAAGAAAGAAAATAAGAAACAGAACAAAAAGAAAGAAAGAAAAAAACGAAAGAAAAAAAAAACGAAAGACAGAAAGCAAAGAAGAAGAAGAAGAAAGAACAAAAAAAAAAAACAAGAAAACAGGCGACTCGTCCCGAATATGAAATCAAAAATGACCTGCACTATCTGCAATACTCCTTTCATTTCCTCTTGTTGTCTCTCTCCTTTCATGTTGTTCGTCGTGTGATGAGTATTTTTCATTTTTTTAATCAAATGTTTTTATTTTGTATTTTTTCTCTTTTTTCCCTTTTTCATTTCTTTTTTTAATACTTTTCATTTTTAATCAAATGCTTTTTATTTGTATTTTTTCTTTCCCTTTTCATTCTTTTTTTAATACTTTTCTTTTTATTTTTTTTCGATCTTTTTTTTTGTATGATGTTAAAATATTTTTTTCTTGTTTATGAATATAATGCACATAATGGTAATATGATTTCGTTACAAAATGTTGAAAAAATGCATATATTAAATAAACAAAATACGTTAATAAAAATAAATAAATGATAAATAAATAAATAAATAAATAACATCAGGACTCCCCTTCCCTCTCCTTTACCCCCCTTCCCTCCCTCTCCCTCCCCCACCTACTCCTTCCTCTCCCCTCACCCCCTTCCCTCTACCCCTCCCCTTACTCCCTACTCCTTCCCTCTCCCTTACCCCCCCCTTCTCCCCTTCCTCTTCCAACTCCCCCGTCCCTCCCCTCTCCCTTCCCCCCTTACCCCTTCCCTTACCCCTCTCTTCCCCTCCTCTCTCCTCTTACTCCCTACTCCTCCCTCTCCCCTCCCCTCTCCCCACCCCCTTCCCCAGCTTGCAAGGGCGACCGGCGACATCTGCAACATCTGCACAACACGGGGATACTATGGAGGAAATAGATGCCCTCCACCACCCCCCATACCCCCCTCCATGCCCCTCCTCCAATGCCCACGTACCATCCCCCCCCTCCCCCTCCCCTCTTACTCTGGCTGGAGAAATCGCATTGTCTTTCTCTCTTCTCGTTTCTCTGTTTCTCTTGTTTTTAATTTCTTTCTCTTTCTCTATCTCTGTTTCTCCTTCTCTGTCTCTTCTTCTCCTTCCTTTCTGTCTCTTTCTCCTTCTCTATTTGTTTCTCCTTTCTCTGTCTGTTTCTCTTTTTCTCTCTCTGACTGCGTTTCTCCTTCTCTGTTTCTCTTTCTCTATCTCTCTCTATCTCTGTTTCTCTTTCTCTATCTCTGCTTCTCTTTCTCTATCTCTGTTTCTCTTTCTCTATCTCTGTTTCTCTTTCTGTTTCTCTATCTCTATTTCTCTGTTTCTCTTTCTCTATCTCTGTTTCTCTTTCTCTATCTCTGTTTCTCTTTCTGTTTCTCTTTCTTTCTGTTTCTCTATCTCTATTTCTGTTTCTCTTTCTGTTTCTCTTTCTGTTTCTCTGTTTCTCTTTCTGTTTCTCTGTTTCTCTTTCTGTTTCTCTATCTCTATTTCTCTTTCTCTACACCAACGTCCTTCACACCCACACCAAAACAGACACGCAAAAAAAAAGAGAGAGAATATTCCCCGCCAAAATAAACCTCAAACTTCTCGAAATCAACAAAGCCAAATACCTGATACCGAACCACCAGATACCTAATACTCCTCCCCCTCCCCCTCCCCTCCCCCTCCCCCTCTCTCTGTTGCGGCCGCCTCTCTTTAACAAATCGCTTTTTAAATGGCAAAACCAAAAAAAAAAAAAAGTTTTACTAACGCACACGATAAAGAAACAGCGCCTCGTTTGCCGCTGTGGAGGAGGGGAAAAAAAAGGTGAGAAAGAGAGAGAGAAAGAGAGAGAATGAGAGAGAGAGAAAGGAAAGAAAAAAAAAAAAAAAATCTCGCTTGTTTGTACAAAATCACACTCTCCCTCGTTGCACAGCGCGGAGGGAGGGGCAAGAACGTGCTACGCCGAGCCCCGTGCGTTGGGGCGAAACTCCCATCTCGGGGACGTGGGCGGACCGCCCTTCGCGACCCGGGCCCCCATCGGCCTCTCTCGCCGGCAAAGATTATTTTACAGGTCATGTAATTTAAAATCGTTTTTGGTTTCTGCATTACAGGCCCAACTACCCCTCCTCCCCCCCCACCTTTACCCTCCCCCTGCCTCCTCCCCTCCCCCTGCCTCCCCCCTGCCTCCTCCCCCTCCCCTGCCTCCTCCCCCCTCCCCCTACCCCTCGCCTTCTCTTACATCTACTCTCTTTTATCTAATGTTTTCCTTTTGTCTTTTGTTTTGTTTATATGTTGTTTCTCTTCGTCACTAGTGCAAAGCTCGGATATGTTATTGCGTTTCAATTGCACATCAACATTTTTTTTAGAGGTTACTTCCTGCAATCTCTTTCTTTCTCTGTCTCTGTTTCTCTTTCTCATTCGTACTTTCTCTATATCCCTACCCCACTCTCCCCTTCTCTCTTCCTCTTGCTCTTCCTCCCTCCACTCTGTCTGTCTTTCTCTCTCTCTCTCTCCCTCTCGTTCTCCTGTCTCCTCTCTCTCTCTCTCTCTCTCTCTCCTCTCTCTCTCTCTCTCTCTCTCTCTCTCTCTCTCTCTCTCTCTCTCTCTCTCCTCTCTCTCCTCTCTCTCCCTCCCTTCCAACACCTTGCAAGATCTTCCCCTTTACTTATTCGACTTTTCCCCTCTTCTTTTTCCCCTCTCCCTTCTGTCTTCCACACGCGCGTCTCCGGCCCTCTTCTCCCCTCTCTCTCATCCATACTTCGTTCTCCCTCTTGTCTCATTTCCCTCCTCCTTCCCTTCCTCTCTTCCAATCTTCGTCTCTCATTATCCACTCTTATTGCCTCTCTTCTCTCATCCTGCGCCTTGGTTTCCGCCCTCAATAATTCTTCTGGTTCTCTAACGTCTCTCCGCTCCTACGTATAATAGCTTCTCCTTTCTTTTNATTATTTACTTTTTATTTCTGTTGTTGTTATTGTTTTTTGTTGGTTTAGCATCATCGGTATTGTTGTTATTGATTTGTTATGTTCGTCATTGTTGTTTGTTGTTTTGTTTATATGTTTGAGAATAAACAAAATGCTGGTTTAGATGGTATTCTTGTATTTTTTCTTATGGTTGTTGTTATCATTATTATCATTATTAATTATTGTTTTCATTTATCATCATTATTATTATTGTTTTCATTTATTATCATTATTATTATTATTATTATTATTATTATTATTATTATTATATTATTATTATTTTCATTTATTATTATTATTATTATTATTATTATTATTTATTTTATTATTATTATTATTATTACTATTATTATTATTATTATTATTATTATTATTATTATTGTTTTTATTTTTTAACTTTTTTCCTTTTTTCCTTTTTTCTCTCTCTCTCTCTCTCTCTCTCTCTCTCTCTCTCTCTCTCTCTCTCTCTCTCCTCTTCTCTCCTCTCTCTCTCTCTCTCTCTCTCCTCTCTCTCTCTCTTCTCTCCCTTTCCCTTCTCTCTCCTTTCTCTCTTCTTCTCTTCTCTCTCGTCTCTCTCTCTCTCTCTCCTCTCCCTCTCCCCTCCCTCTTCCTCCTCCCCTTCCTCCTCCCCTCCCTCCTCCCCTCCCCTTTCCCTTTCCCTCCCTCTCTCTCTCCCCCTCCCCCTCCTCCCTCCCCTCCCTTCCCTTTCCCTTCCCAGTAACGTGTGGTAATATTTGTTCTCGTCAGTTGAGAAAAAAATGAAAACTCATATCGTGGCAGTGACACTGTAACAAAAACGGTGCATTTGATTTAGAAATTTAGAAAATAGAATACCTTGAATACAGTTACGATTGAAGAGGGAGTTTTTTTTATATATGTGCACAGACAGACAGATACACACACAACGCCACGCAACGCACACGCACACGCACACGCACACGCACACGCACACGCAACACGCACACGCACACGCACACGCACACGCACACGCACACGCACACGCACACGCACACACACACACACACACACTATATATATATATATATATATAATATATATATATATATATATATATATATTTTATATATTTATATATTTATATATTTATATATTTATATATTTATATAATTATACAAATAGATAGATGGATAGACAGATAGATAGACAGACACACACACACACATACATATTCATATGAAGAGCGAGAGAATGAAGAAAAACAAAAGGTCACTGAAGTAATGGATGCATGACAAGTGGACTTAAAAAAGGGGTGCGGGAGGAAGGGAGGGAGGGGGTGGGGGAGGGAGGGGAGGGGAAGGGGGAGAGGGGCATCTTGGGCAGGTGCGTGGGCAGGTGGGGAGAGCTTGCGCATGCCCGGCGGGGGTGGGGTGTGAAGTAGCGGAGGGAGAAGGGAGGAGGGGGAGGAGGAGGGAGAGAGGGAGGGGAAGAAGAGGAGGAGGAGGAGGAGGAGGAGGAGGAGGAGGAGGAGGAGGAGGAGGGAGGAGGAGGAGGAGGAGGAGGAGAAGGAGAAAGGGAAAGAGGGAGAGACGAGGGGGAGGAGCAGGTGGAGGAAAGATTGAGAGAGGGAGAGAGGAGGAGGATGGAAAGAGGTAGGAGAGGGAAAGGAAGGAAGGAAGGAAAGGAGGAGGATCGGAAGGACGGGGGGAAAGGAAAGAGAGAAGAAGAGAGAAAAGGAGAAAGATAGAGAGAAAGGAAAGAGGGAAATGCGTCCGCGGGTGTGGAGGAAGAGGAGGAGGAGGGAGGAGGAGGGCGCGAGAGGAGGAGGAGGAGGAGGAGGAGAGGGCGAGAGGAGGGGAGGAGGAGGGAGGAGGAGGGCGCGAGGAGGGAGGGAGGAGGAGGAGGAGGAGGGCGCGAGGAGGCGAGAGAGTGGCAGCGTCGACGGCGGGGCCTCAGTCGCGCGCGCACACACCGGCGGGCAGGACGGGCCACCTCGCGAGGCCGATCTGACCCCCGACCGACCCCGACCAGCTCTCCAAGACCCCCTGTTAGTACCCCTCCCCTCCTCCCCCCACTTGGTCAGACCCCCTCCCCCCCCCCCTCTAAGTCCGCGACGACCGACCGTTCGGGATCTCTCTCGCCCCCCCCCCATCTCTGCCCCGTCCCCAAGTCGCGTGCCCCAAACTCTTTTTTTTCTGTGTGTGTGTCTTGTTCTTCCTCATTCTCTCTTTTCTCTCCTCTTTCCCCCGTGTCTCTCCAGTCCCCCTCTTCTTATTTTTTCCTCCTCTTGTCTTCTGTGTGTCTCGTTCTTCCTCATTCTCTCTGTCTCTCCTCTTTCCTCGTGTCTCTCCAGTCCCCCCCTTCTTCTTTTTTTTTCCTCTTGTTCTTGTGTGTCTCGTTCTTCCTCATTCTCTGTTCTCTCCACTTCCCCGTGTCTCTCCATTCCGCCTTCCTTTTTTTCTCATTCATCCTAATTCCCCCTTCTTCCTCCTATAATCCTATTCCTATTCTCTCTTCCTCTTCTTCCTCCTGTAAATCCTATTCCTCTTCTTCCTCTTCTTCCTCCTCCTCCTATTCTTCCCGGCGAGTGACCGTTAAGGGCGTCGCGAAAGAGACCGGAGTGACATTTCGCGAAGAAGGAAAAGAGAAAAAGAAAAAGTTTTTTATTTACGTCAGTGCCTCTGATTCGTCCCTTCGTGTGATTCTCTAGTTATTTCGTTCTGTTCTCCCGTTTCGTCTGTTATCTGTTATTGTTATTGTTATCGTTTATTTGACAGTCTTTTCAAGTGTTCGGACTCGGTAGCGGGCTAAAAGGAATAATAGATAAAGAGAGTGGAAGCAGAAAGAGCAAGACCGTGAGAAACAGTTTTTTTTGGGGAAACTCGTGATACGCAAGAGGAAAAGTTGAGAAAAGGAATTAATAAAAAGACCTAGAAGAAGAAAAGAAAAAAAAGAAACAAGAAAAGAGTAAGAGTAAGAAGAAGATAAAATAGGAACAAGAAAAGAGTAAGACTAAGAAGAAGAAACAAAAAGGAACAAGAGAAAGGGCAGAAGGAGAAAAAAAAAAGAAAAGAAAGAGAGAAAAAAAAGAGGAACAAGAGAAAGGGCAAAAGAAGGAGAAAAAAAAGAGGACAGAGAAAGAAGGGCAGAAGAAGAAGAAGAAAAAAAAAAGGGTAGTTGTCTTTCCGGTGACCTTGCGTGGCCGGCGGTTCGTGTGACCTTGTCGGCGCTGAAGATGCTGGTGGACATCGCGAGAGACCCCCGGCGGGAGCCAGGACTGGTGGGCGCAGGTAAGGCAGTCCGGGCCGCTCTCTTTGGACTCCCTCACTCCCTCCCTTTGGTCTCCCTTCTCCCTCTCTACTCCCTTTGGCCTCCCTTCTCCCCTCCTCGACTCGTTTGGCCTCCCTTACTACTCTCTTTGGACTCCCTCGCTGCTCCCTTTGGTCTCCCTTGGCCTCCCTTCTCCCCTCTCGACTCCTTTGGCTCCTCCTCCCTCCCTTTGCCTCCCTCTCTACTCCCTTTGGCCTCCTCTTCCCTCTCTGGCCTCCCTCCTCCCTCTCTACTCCCTTGGCCTCCCTTCTCCTCTCCTCGACTCCCTTGCCCTCCCTCTCTACTCCCTTTGGCCTCCCTCCTCCTCTCTCGACTCCCTTAGTCTCCCTCCTCTCCTCCGCGACTCCTTTTGACCTCCCTCCTCTCCCCCTTGGCCTCTCCCCCTCCCCCTCACTCCCGTGTCTGGAGTGACCCACATGCCCACTTCTCGGTCAGAACCCCTTCCTCTCCTCCTTCTGCTTCATCTTCTCTTCTCTTTCCTTCCTCTGTTTCTCTTTTCCGCTGTTTCTCGCCTTCATCTTATTGTTGTTTTATTGTTGTTTTCTTTTTCTTCTTGGTTTCTTCTCTCCTCGTCTCTTACTACCTTTTTCTATTCCTCTATTTCTTTTGAAGTCTTCTCGTCCTTCGTTCCTCCTCTTTCGCTTCTCTCTCTCTCTCTCTCTCTCTTTTCTCTCTTTCTCCCCCTACCCCCATTCCTACCCTCCCCCGCTTCTCTTTTTTTTTAACTTCGAATCTAACCCTTTTTGTCCATCATCCTTCGTCAAAATCTTTATCATCTTTATTTTTTCCCCATGTGTTTCGAAATCTGAACCCCCCCCCTCCCCCCCCTCCCCCCTCCCGTTATCTAAGTTCGCACAGTCGCGCACAAAAGTTTGCGGGCTGTGACGCCGCCGGGCATTCGTGTGTGTGTGTGTGTGTGTGTGTGTGTGTGTGTGTGTGTGTGTGTGTGTGTGTGTGTGTGTGTGTGTGTGTGTGCAAGGAAAAGGGGTCGAAAGTGTTGTGTCATACGCTTCTGTGTGTACCTTACTCACGCACACGTACAGACAAGCATACGTACAGGTTAAGATTGGCGATTTGATACAGGCATAGACTTATACACATACATATGCTTATACATGTACTCATGCATATGCTCACTTATAGGCAGGGCGCAACGCGCGCGCGCACACACACACACACACACACACCACACACACACAACACACACACACACACCACACACACACACACACACACACACACACACACACACACACACACACACACACACACACACACACACACACACACACACCACACACACACACACTCTCTTCTCTCTCTCTCTCTCTCTCTCTCTCTCTCTCTCTCTCTCTCTCTCTCTCTCTCTCTCTCTCTCTCTCTCTCTCTCTCTCTCTCTCTCCTCTTCTCTCCCTCTCTCTCTCCCTCTCCTCTCCCTCTCTCCCTCAAAAATTCCAGACCTTTTTTCTCCCTCTCTCCCCCCCCCCCCCCTTCCGGTCCAGTGGCCTTCCTTGAGACACGAAATAAAGTCCGTTTGTTAAACCACGATTTAAATGTCGGGCGGCCTTCGCTGCGACGCACGCCCCGCGGGGTGTCGGTGCCCCCCCCCCCCCCCTCGCCGTTTTTGCTTTTTTGTGCTGAGTCATGGTGGCGGTGGTGGCGGTGGTGGCGGCGGTGGAGGCGGTGGTGTGTTTTTGGTGGTGCTCTTGTTTTTTTTGTTTTTTTTTTGTTTGTTTCATGTTGATGTTATTTTTTTTTTATTATTGTTGTTATGGTTATTATTGCTATTGTTAAGGTTGTTGTTGTTGTTATTATTATTATTATTATTATTATTATTATTATTATTATTATTATTATTATGATTATGATTATCATTATAATGATTATTGTTGTTGTTGTTGTTATTCTTGTTATAATTATATCATACCATCATCGTCATCACCGTCATCATTTTCATTTTCCTTTTAATCCTCATCTACATTTCCATTTTCATTTTCTTTCCCGCGGCTTTCATTTTCATTTTCATTTTCATCTTCATCTACATTTTCATTTAAATGTTCGTTTTCATTTTAATCCTCATCTACATTTCCATTTTCATTTCCATTTTCATTTTCATTTTCATTTTAATCTTCATCTACATTTCCATTTTCATTTTCATGTTCATTTTAATCTTCATCTACTTTTCCATTTTTACCTTCATTTTCATTTTACTTTTCTTTTTAATCTTTACATTTTCATTTTCATTTTCTTTCCCGCGGCTTTTCATTTTCATTTTCATTTTAATCCTCATCTAATTTTCATTATCATTTTCATTTTAATCTTCATCTACATTTCCATTTTCACCTTCATTTTCATTTTCATTTTCTTTTTCCTCATTTCAACATTTTCATTCCATTTCATTTTCATTTTATTTTATCTTCATCAATTTTCATTTTCACCTTCATTTTCATTTCATTTTCATTTTCCTTTCCTTCCCCGGGCGTTCCCTCTCCGGCCCGAATTCCTCCCGCCGGACCCGTGCGGTTGCGCCACCCGCACCGCCCGGCATTTGCGATTAAAACGAGGCCGCTCTCTGTCACGGCGCCCGGCGTGTGTCAGGCCGGCGGGTGTCAAGTGCCAAGTGCCAAGTGTCACCGCGTTTGACCCCGGGTTTTTTTTTTTTTTTTTGGGTGGGGGGGGGTGGGATGGGTGGGGTGGGTGTGGAGGTATTTGGGCGATTTGTGTTTATGCATGGGCGTGTGTTTGTGTTTGTTTGTTTGTGTGTGTTGTGTGTGTGTGTGGGGGGGGTTGTGTGGTGTGTGTGTTTGTGTGTGTGTGTGTGTTGTGTGTGTGTGTGTGTGTGTGTGTGTGTGTGTGTGTGTGTGTGTTTGTGTGTGTGTGTGTGTGTGTGTGTGTGTGTGTGTGTGTGTGTGTGTGTGTGTGTGTGTGTGTGTGTGTGTGTGTGTGTGTGTGTGTGTGTGTGTGTCTGTTTGTCGTTTGTGTAACTGGTATCCTGGGTATCTGCGGTATCTGTAGTACAGGGTATTCTGGAGCGAGGGAGTGCCGCCGGGTGTCGTGTGGCGGGGAACGGGTCACCTGCAGGCGGGCGCGGGCGGGCGTGGGCAGTGGCTAGCGAGGCGAGGGGCGGGAGGGGAGGGGAGGGAGGGGGGGGAGGGGTGGGAAGGGAGGGAGGGAGGGGGGGAGGGAGGGGAAGGGTAGCGGGCAGGAAAGCAAGGTACAGCTAACGGGGCGCTGTGGCCAAGACTTGTCTAGCGGTCTTGCTATCAATCCTCTCCTCTCTCCTCCTCTCCTCTCCTCCCCTCCCCTCCCTCTCCTTTCTATTCCTTCCCGCGTTCGTTCCCTCTCCTCTCCTCTCTATTCTTTTATTCCTTTCCCGCGTTCGTTCTTCCTCCCTTCTCCTCTCTTCTCTCTCTCTCCCTCTCCCTCTCCCCTCTCTTCTTCCCTCCTCCCCCCCTTTCTTCCCCTCTCCCTTCTCCATTCCCCCGCGGTCTCCCCCCCTCTCCCTTTCCCCTCCCTCTCTTCCTCCTCTTCTCGCTCCTCTCCTCCTACTCATTCTCTTTCTTTCTCATTCCCTTTCGCCTCCGCCTCCCCCTCCCCCCTCCCCCCCCCCACACGCGCCGCCCTAATCTTCCGACCCTTATCATCTTTCCCAATTATCCATCGGTTTCCTCTTCCTGCTTTCGTGAATCGCTTTTTTTTGGTTCGTTTCATTCACCTTCTGTCTTTCCCTCTTTCTTTTTTTTATTTTTTCATTTTCTTTCTTTTTTTTCTTTCTTTCTTTCTTTCTTCCTTTCTTGTCTATCCATGTTTTTTCTTCTCTTCTCTTTTATTATTCTTTCTTCTTTTTATTATTATTATTATTATTATTATTATACTCCTCCTCTCCTGCTCCTCCTCCCCTCCTCCCCTCCTCCTCCCCCTCCCTCCCCCCCTCCCCCTCCCTCCCCTCCTCCTCCTCCTCCCCTCCTCCTTCCTCCTCCTCCTCCCTCCTCCTCCTCCTCCTCCTCCTTCCTCCTCCTCCTCCTCCTCCTCTTCGTAAAGGCAGGTAAACATTCGTATAGGCCTATGATCTAATGCGACCTAGGGATGCGTGGGGGATTAGGGCGTAAGGATTAGGCGTAAAGGATGGTATAAGGATGATAGGGTCGGCTAGGATAAGGATGAAGGGTGAGGATGAGGTGCATGGTGATAGGGATGGCGAAGGAGAGGAGGAGGAGGAGGGGGAGGAGGAGGAGGAGGAGGAGGAGAGGAGGAGGAGGAGGAGAAGGAGAAGGAGAAGAAGGAAGAGAAGGAGGAAGAGGAGGAGGAGAAGAAGAGAGAAGAAGAAGAAGAAGAGAAGAAGAAGAAGAAGAAGAAGAAGAAGAAGAAGAAGAAGAAGAGAAGAAGAAGAAGAAGAAGAAGGAGGAGGAGGAGGAGAGGAGGAGGAGGAGGAGAAGGATGGATGGCCGCGGGTGGGTATGAGGGCATAGGAATTGCTTCATAGGAAGAAGAGGTATGTTGGGGTATAGGGTATATGGTAGGGGGGTGACGGAGGAGAGGGAGAGGGGGGGGCATGGAGAGAATATGAGGAAGAAAATAATATGAAATAGGAAGGGTGACATGAAGAGAATAGGAGGAAGAAAATAGGAAATAGAAGAAAATAGGAGATAAATG